GCGGGGAGGGGGGGGGGGGGGGGGGGGGGGGGGGGGGGCCCCCCTTGCCCGCCGGGGGGGGGGGGGGGGACGGCGCCTGCTGGAGGAGGGGGGGTTGGACTAGAAGACCTCCAAGGGCCAGGCTGCCTCGGGAGGGGCCTCGGGGGTGGGTGGGAATTCGCCCTGGGGGTGGGGGGCTCCTCCTGTGGGAGGCCTTGCACAGCTCAGTCCTCGCTTAGTGGCCGTTTCGTTTAGCGGCGGTTATAATGGGGAAGCCTTGCACTGAGGGAGTTTCTGCAAGGAAAAATGGGAGGAGATCGAAAACACCAACCCGGCTTCACTTGGCTGCTTCGTTCCCATGCTGGCTGACCCCAATTGTCGCTAAGCGAGGACTGTCTCTGCACCCTGGAGGCTCCCATATCGGGGGGGGGGCAACTCCTCCTGCGCCCCGGAGAGGGATTTCAGCCCTTTCCCCCCCCGCCCTCTGGGGAAAGAGACCCCGAGTGAAAGATGCCCCCTCCTGCTTCCCCCTCCAGGTGTGCAACAGCTGCCCGATGATCATGGCCAATCGTTGCAGCTTCAGCGCCCACCAGCGCATGCACAAGAACCGGGCGCCCCACGTCTGCCCCGAGTGCGGGGGGAACTTCCTGCTGGCCAACTTCGACGCCCACCTGAAGGACGCCTGCCTCCACTTTTCCCGGAGGATCGGCTACAGGTGGGCTCCCCCTCCCCCCGCCCTCCTCCAGGTGCCTCGGCCTCCCCCTGCCTGGCACTCGGCGGGGTGGGAGGGTCTCCCGGCGGCCCCTCACAGGGCAACTGGCCGTAAAGCGAAACTCCTGCTGTGGGGTCTGGCCTGAACCCACACGCTCTGCTCCCCCCCCCCTCCCCTCTCCCCAGGTGTCCCAGCTGCTCTGTGGTCTTCGGTGGGGTGAACTCCATCAAGTCCCACATCCAGACGTCCCACTGCGAGGTCTTCCACAAGTGCCCCGTCTGCCCCATGGCCTTCAAGTCGGCCCCCAGCGCCCACGGCCACATCTACACCCAGCACCCGGGCTTCAGCAACCAGCAGTCCAAGTAAGACCGGCCGGAGGGGCAGACGTCCCGTCCCCCCCCCCCTCCGTCCATGGGGAGACTGGAGGGTGGCTGGCCTGGAATGGGATGGGGTCTCCTGCCTTGAGCAGGGGGCTGGACTAGAAGACCTCCAAGGTCCCTTCCAGCTCTGCTATTCTATTCCTCCTCTCTTCTGCTCTATTCCATTCTATTATTATTCCTCTACTCTATTAATTCCATATTCTTATTTTTCTATTTATTCTATTATTATTCCTCTGTTGATTCCATTTTCTTATTTTTCTATTTATTCTATTATTATTCCTCTGTTAATTCCATTTTCTTATTTTTCAATTTATTCTTATTCCTCTACTCTATCAATTCCATTTTCTTATTTTTCTATTTTTTCTATTATTCCTCTATTAATTCCATATTCTTATTTTTTCTATTTATTCTATTCTATTATTATTGTATACTACACTGCTCTATTAATTCCATACTTATTTTTCTATTATTTGATTCTAAACTATTCTATTCTTCTCCTCCTCCTCCTTCTTCTTCTCTATTTTTATTCTACTATATATTAATTCCATAGTCTTATTTTCCTATTTTTCTCTATTCTACTCTTATAATTCTTATTAGAGGCCGCTCTCCCGGCCTCTCCTGGAAGGGATGTGTGTGTGTGTCCCTGCTGGTGTTGGGGGGGGGGGGGCACCGGAGGGAAGGGAGGAGACCCCCTCCATCTCTTTCAACCCCCCCTTCTCTGCCCAGAATGATCTACAAGTGTGCCATGTGTGACACGGTCTTCACCCACAAGCCCCTCCTCTCCTCCCACTTCGACCAGCACCTGGTCAACCAGAGGGTCAGCGTCTTCAAGTGCCCCGACTGCCCTCTGCTCTTCGCCCAGAAGCGGACCATGCTGGAGCACCTCAAGGTCAGGAGGGGGGCTGGCTGGCCGGGAAAGGGGGGGTGGGGCAGGGAAGGGCTGCCGGACCCTGCTTGACCGCTGCCCCCGTCTCCCTCCGGCCCTCAGAACAGCCACCAGCAGCAGCAGCAGCAGAAGCCCAAGGAGGAAGCGGTCAAGAAGCCTCCTGCCGCCACCCCCAAGCCGGGTCCGGCCGAGGAGGAGCCCCCGCCGCCCATTGCCAAGCCCTCCTCCTCCTCCTCTTCGTCCTCCTCCTCCTCCTCGGAAGACGACACCCCCAGCTCCCCCGAGCTGCGCAAGAGCAAGCGGGGCCGCTTCCAGCGCAAGGCGGAGATGGGCCGACGGTCGCGCAGCAACGGCTGGACCTGCGGTGTCTGCCACTCCTGGTTCCCCGAGAGGGACGAGTACGTGGTGCACATGAAGAAGGTCCACGGGAAGGTGAGGGGGGGGGCAGAAGGAACCACCTGGGGGAATACCCCCGCCTTCCCCTCCTGGGGCCGGTTGGGAAGTTGGGACAACCGGTTGGGAAGTTGGGACAACCGAGCCAGGGAGAGCAGGGGTCTTTTGTGTGTGTGGGTGGAGGGGGCTCATAATCTTCCTCACATTGGCATCTCCCGCCCTCCCCCCCCTTCAGTGTGTGAAGAAGTTTCCCTGCCACCTGTGCGAGCGCTCCTTCTGCTCCGCCCCCAGCCTGCGTAGGCACGTCCGGGTGAATCACGAGGGCATCAAGAGGGTCTACCCCTGCAGGTAAGCGCCTGCCCACACGGGGTGGGGGGCTCCTTGGGGGTCTCTTGGGCCGCCCCCCCTCAGCTTCCCTCCCTCCCTCCTTCTCTCTTGCAGGTACTGTACGGAGGGCAAACGCACCTTCAGCAGCCGCCTCATCCTGGAGAAACACATCCAGGTGCGACACGGGATCAAGGTGACCGACGCCAACCGCAGCGAGGAGGTGCTCGCCACCCGCTTGGGCTCCAGGAACTCTCAGGTATGCGCACCCCTCTCTGCTCCCCTCCCCCCCATAACCTCTGCAGGGATTCGGAGAAGCCTTGGCAGAGACGGCCCAGGCAGAGGGGATGGCCTGGAAACGGGGGAGGCTGAGAAAGGCAGGTGAGGGGTGGGGAGAGAGAGAGAGAGAGAAGACTGCCCCCTCACCCCTTGTAAATGGCCTTTTGGGTGGAGGGTCCCTCCAGCCCCCCCGGACAGCCTTGCTCACCCCTCCCTCCCTCCTCTTCCTCTGCCCTGCAGGGCTCCAGCCGGAAGCGCAAGCTCTCCTCGGACGACGGCGACTCCTGCAGCGAAGAGCCGGACAGCACCACCCCGCCCTCCAAGACCCCCAAGGGCAGCCGGCGCTCCCCCTACCACTGCCGGAAGTGCGGCTACGTGGCCCCCACGGCGGCCGACTTCCAGGAGCACATCCCCCGCCACCGGACAGGCGAGAGCGCCCACCAGTGCCACGAGTGCGGACTCTGCTTCACCTCCCAGGTCTCCCTCAACCGCCACCGCTTCATCACCCACAAGAAGAAGCGGAGCGACGGGGAGGCCGGCGTCCCCCGGGGGGCCCCCGAGGAAGGCTCCCCCCCGGCCCACGAGGGCAGCCTCTCCTGCACCGTCTGCGGCAAGGCCTTCGACACCCAGCTCAACCTCAAGACTCACTTCCGCACCCACGGAATGGCCTTCATCAAGGCGCGACAGACCGGGGGGGGCGAGAACTAGCCGGGTCCCGGAGCCGCGTCGGAGGGGGGGGGGAAACGTGCCCCTCGTGGCTCCTTCCGCGGCTCGAGTGATGGAGACGCCTTATTTATCCTCCCAGCCCCGCCTTCTGCGGCCGCCTCCTCTCGGGAGTCCCAGGATCCCTCGGCTGGCAGCTTGGGGGGAAGGGGGCGAGTGGGGGGCTCTTCTCTCCCTCCCCTTTTTCAGGCCCCTGGTGGCCAAAGGGTGGTGGGCTTCAGCGGCCGGGAGGCTGGAAGAGTTGAACCCACTCCCCCCACCCCAGAAGTGACCCCTCGGGAGGGAGGGACGGACTTCAACCCTCCCCGTCCATGGGTGTTGAAGTATGATGCATGAAGAGAACACGTGTGTTTGCGGGAGACCCCCCCCCCCCCCCCCCCATTTCTTCGGCCATCACCACTCCGAGTTTTTTTTCCCCCTTTCCTGTCTCCGAGGTTCCCTCAGAGGGGAATTGGGGGCTTTCCCCCCCCCTAATTGATGCTTCTCCGCCTCTTGTTCCCTGGGGTGGGAAGTCTCCCCCTCGCGCTCCAGATCATGGCTTGATTCACTCCAAGGAAGGTGGCTTGGCGTCTCCTGCGCTGATTAACCATGATGGCTAGCTGAAAACCAAGAAAAAGCTCTTTTTTTTTTTTAATTTTCCAAACCATTCCAGGCTTTTGGAGGTCTCTGCTTGCCCCCCCGCCCACCCTCCGTCTCTCGCCCTTGGCATGGTGCCCTCCCAGCATTTTGGGGGGGGGTGTGTGTGTCTTGGGCTTGTGCCCCCCCACCCTCTTCCTTCAGCTGGTGCTTAGGAGGGAAGGAAATAAAACGGATTAGCCCTTGATTTTTACAAGCCGCAAACCCCTTGCTTGTAAAATCCGAATCTTGTGGGGGGGGTCTGGTGAGGCGTCTGTGCCTGGTCGGTGGGAGGGGGAAGGGGGCAGGAATTTCTGGGGAGGGGGCTCTCTCCGAATGGGCCCCTGGGCTCCCCAGAAGAGATCAGGACAATCAGGTTATTTCTACAGCCTCCATCCCTTCCCTCTTCCCCCCCCCCCAAACTTCCCCAGCATTCCTCTTCCGGTTCAGCCGAAATCCGAAGCCCCCTCCCCATCCAGTCCCCCGCCAGATCCGCCCTTTTGGAAAACGCTGGAATTCCAGCCCGGCGTTTTCCTCCGGCCGCGGGTTCGAGACAGGCGCAATTCCTTGCTTTTTAGGCCTTCACGGGCTCCAGAATCCTGAAAATAACTTGTTGAGGGTTTTATTTTTAAAAAAATTTTAATTTTAGTCTTAAGACGTTTCCTTTTGGGGACCCGGGGGGTGTGTGGGGGGTGTCGGTCTCTCTCTGGATTTGGGTTCCTTTTCGTTCCTGGGTTTGGTTTTGCTTTATAACTATTATTATTATTGTTATTTTTGGTCACTAACGGGAGACTAACGAAGCGCGTGTCCTTTGAACCGATCATGTAAACGGATATTTAAAAGGAAAAGAAAAAAAAGAACCAGCTCTATGAATGAAAGCGGAGAAGTCGAGTGACTCTGGTGCTAAGTGATTATTTCCCAAAAGAGCAGAAAAAGACGGGTTAAAAATTAGGTTTTTATGACCATTTGCTTAAGCCCGGGGGGCGGGGGGTGTGTGTGTCCAAATGTGGGGACCTTGAAGACTTGTGTGGACTTCAACTCCCAGAATTCCCCCAGCTGGCCATGCGTGTGTGTGTGTGTGTGCCACCCCTCTTCATGCTCCAAGATTGGGGGAATTGTGCAAAAGAAGCTTTCTTGGTTTCGGGAGGGGCTGGGCAGGGTGGAAGCAGGTGATCTTCCGCCCCCCCCCCTTGGGGTGAATTTTCCCCTCCCTCCCTCCCTCCCTCCCCGGAGTCCAAATGAAGCTCTTACTCTCCCGTAGGCTTTCCTGGGCCTTGTGGCTTCTCCCACCCACCACCCACCCACCCAAACACAGAGCATCTCGTCTGAGCCGGTCGCGGTCCCCGTGGAGGGTCTCCAGGGCTTTGGGCCAGTAAATTCCACTCAGTCTCTTTCCTTAATCATGGTCTGTCGGAGGGAAACACCCCCCCCTCACCTTCCCCTTGGGCAATCATGAGAAGTTTCCCCCCCCCCCCAAGGTGATTTCTTCCTTTTTTTTAATAGAAAAAGAAAAAAAGGGGGGGGGAAACATGCAGCAACTAATAAAAGTCCATTTTCAGAAGGGTCTCCATGTACATAATTTATTTATCTCGCTTCTTCCCCCCCCCCCTTTACATTTCCTGTGCCACCCACAAATTTTAGCATCCCCCCCCCTTTTTTTCCTCCCTTCCGGAAGACCGGATTCACGCAGGTTGGCAGTAAAGGGGCCCCAGGATGCCCCCCACCCCAGCGTGGCACGTTTGAAAACCCAAGACAGAAGTTTGAGGCTTTTGCCATGTTGCTTTTAAAGAATCCTTTCTAAAAAATCCCATGATTATTTTTTCCTGCCTTCAAAACATTTGGGGGTTCTCTTTGGGGGGTTTCCTGGCTACCTATTCCCTCTCCCCCCCCCTGTTCTCCCCGCGTTGAAGGTCCACCAGGCTGGCATCCATTGGCGTGGCTTTTAGGGCAGCGAGACGGATGTCTTATCTGCAGGAAACACTGGTTATCTTGGCCGCGTTCAGAGGGCGCCAAGTGGCACCCGGTTTCTGCCTGTCAACCAGGCGCCTTTTCTTCGCCCTCCTGCGAGTATCGGCTGCCCCCCTCCGGTAACGTCCCGTAGGAAACTCCCGGTGTCTTTTCCAGCCCCCAAGAGGAAGCCGTGGGGCAGCCCCTGGTGCCAGCGCAGGAGACGGGCAGTGCCAGCTCCGTCTCAGATCCTCTCCACGTAGTTCCCTGGAAACAGCCCTTCCTTGCCACGGATGCGGCCTTCCCACCATCCCGACGGATCTGGAAAGGGGAGAAAAATCGTCCTTAGGACGGACCGCCCCCTCCCCACTTCTCCCTCGGCCCTGAACCCCCTCCCTCCCTCTGGCCTTCTGTGCCAAAGCAGCCGTATGGACGGCCTTGAGGTGCCCCAGGAAGCCTCACCTTCCTTGACTATTTCAATGACGTCGTTGGCGTTGAAGCTGAGCTCATCCGTGTCCTGGGCATCGTAGGCGTAGAGAGCCCGGCAACGGGGAAGGCCCGGATGGGGTTTGGGTTTAGGTTTCGGCTTGGCACGGCCCCCACCTGGCACGGGTTTGGCTTCTTTGCTAAGGTGGCGCCGAAGGCTGGAAAAAGACGGTTCTCAGCTGCCTGGCATTTTGTGGGCACGCAGGCCAAAGGGGAAATAAGCCTTCCAGGGCTGCCCCTACCCACTCAGGTCATGCCCGCCCCCCGAAAAAAAATGGGCAATCCCCAGCCAATTGAAGTCCACCCGTCTCAGAGCTGGCACGGTTGAGGGACGGTGCCAGCTGGAGAAAAATAAAGGGGGAAAGTTCCTCACCCAGCCACCCCTTGGTCAGGGACATTCATGAAGCCCAGGTCGAGGGGTCCTGCGGGGAAGGCCCTGGCACGCGGGCTGGCTCCCTGGCGCGGCAGGCTGGGCTGCTCCATGCTGCCCTGGCGGGTGATGGAATGACGCTGCTGGAAGGACGGCCTGGCACCCCGGCTGTGGCTGCCCCACACCGGCCCTGCAGAAGAGAAAGTCCAGCGATTCCACCCAGCCCGGTTGGGTCAAGAGGAAGAAGCATCAGACGGCCATTCTGGAGGCTGGTCTGGGGGAAGTATTTTTTTGCAACCGGGGTCTTTCTGGGTGGGTTGAGTTGAGGGTCCCAAGGGACACGGATTGGGAAATGTCGGCTTCAGGGAGGCCAGGGAATCAGGATACCCTGCAAATGATGATTAGCAGAAACCTGGCCTATAGTCACCAATCTCTTCTTACCTGTGCTGGTCTGGGCATTCCAGCCCAGGGCAGGGCCTCCCGCCGAGTACCGGCTTTTCCTGGTGTCCTTCCGGTTTGGGCCTGAAAATTTTGCAAATAAATCCTGAAAAATTTTGCAAATAAATCCTGAAAATTTTGCAAATAAATCCTGAAAGTTTTGCAAAGATGTTCAGAAATATGTTCACTCTCCCGGCCTTTCGTAAAGCCACCAAGACGTGGCCTGTTCCCGGCAGGCCTGGGACTGTTGATCAATGTCCAGCCCCACCTACACTGAATGGATGATGTGCAATTTTAATAATGTACCTTTATTTTTAAATTTTTAAATGTTTTTTTATCTGTCTGTAAGCCGCCCAGAGTCCCTAGGGAGTGGGCGGCATACAAATTTTATTAAATTGGAAATTGGAAATTGGAAATTGGACTGATCATTTTGGTCGTTTTACAGTCCAACTGCAAAATCTGATAGAAAAAAGGCATATTTTAGCAGACTAGCATTGATTTCCAGAAAATGTATAGGCACATGATAGTTATTGAAGAATCTATATACTAGAGGAGTCCCTTAATTGCAAGAGCCAAGGTGGCGCAGTGGTTAAATGCAGCACTGCAGGCTACTGCTAGATCAGCAGTTCAGTGGTTCAAATCTCACCGGCTCAAGGTTGACTCAGCCTTC